ATAGATGGGAAAGTTGGAATATTCCCAACTTAAAGGGGTTGGTACAGTTGTGATAAACTACAAAATACCTCATTCTCCTTACTTGAAAGAGCTGAGGTGTTTGGGATTTCCATTAAATCTTGTACAGGGGCAAGAGTGTTGTTAAAGAAACCATCTGGGGATAACGTGTAGGGTAGGCTAGTGTGGAAGGGCCAACTGAGGTCTGAGGAAACATGGATGCACTGTGGCACGGAATGAGATAAACTCTTGGGGATTTGCAGGTGGGGACATGGTGACCGTTGTCTCCCTCCCCAACCCAGAGTGGATAAATCACTAGTTAATTTAACTGCTCTGCCTGCCTATGCCCCCTTCTCAGAGATCTTTTGCTCCCAGCCCTGCTCACTGGTCAGGGACTGTGTGCAAGCCCTGGACCCCTGAGACTTAATGCTAAAGGGGAAAGAAGGTTCCCGAGGAAGAAATCAAAGCAAGAGTCAGCTTTGTAATTGCATTGAGGGTTTTAATGAAAGCTGATTTCTCGTATTTGCCAGTTAACCCTTGTGAGGAGCCGAGATGGGAGCTCAGCAGCCCAGTCGATCTCCCTTCCTGGTCACAGAGCCATGGCCAAGCTGAGGGCCTGAAGCTCAGAGCCTAGAGAATTCCTGTTTATGAGGCAGAGCCTCAGTAGCTCTTCTAGGCTTCAAATGGGCTTTTATAACTGCTGCTGTGTGGTAGAATCTATGCCCTCCAAGGACGGCATGAGAGTAGGGGATTGAGGGGAAGCCTCCCAAGCTGGTTAGGACAAGAGCAAGCAGCAACAGGAGAGTTTGCAGAAGTTCAGGTTCAAGGCGTCTTTCATCCTAGCTCATCTCCAAAGAGTTGATGTACTCCCGAACCCATTTCTTCTCTGGGTTAGAACACACCTGGCGGTTCTTTCGGGTGATGAAGCTGTGGGAGAAAAGAGGGTGAGGTCTTGTCAGCACTGGGATGGCCAGTTTTGGGGATGATGTGGATTAAGGCATGAAGAGAATAATGATGGTACTGGAGGAGGGCATTTTTGGAGCTCAATAAAATTTTGTTTGTGGCTTTTAAGGAGAGGACATTTCCTCTTCTGTTGGATCAAAGGGCTCCAAGCCAGAAGCAAATTAGTGTGCATTTTAACCCCTACACAAACACATGCAGACTGGAAAGCTAAGAGGATATGGTGCCTCTAGAGCCCAGGGTCGAGCTGGCCACCCACTCACCTTTCTTAGCACTTCCTCTGTTCCATGCCCTGTGCTGGGTGCTCAAGATTCAGAGAGAAAAATGTGTCCCCCAGGAACTGAGTCATGGCTGAATAAGTGGAACATGAGAAGTGCTTAAAAGAACATATGATTTGGCCGGCCTGGTGGCGCACTGGAGAGTGTGCCGCTTGGGAGTGTGGCGGCGCTCCCGCCGAGGGTTCGGATCCCATGTGGAGACTGGTTCCCGCTCATTGGCTGAGCGTGGTGTGGGCGCGACACCGAGGGTTGCGATCCCGTTACCGGTCAGTAAAAAAGACAAAAAGGAAAAAAAAAAAAAAAAGAACATATGATTTGGCTGTAGAGAACACAGTGCCTGGCACACAGTACACACTCAATAAATGAATACATAAGCACATGTATGCGTGGTTGGGTGAGTGAAAGAAGGATATGAACTTAAGTCTTGATTTTACCAGTATTAGTGGGATCACCATGGGCAAATCACTTAGGGCCTTTGAGTCTATTTGCTAAACTCTAAAGTATGGATAGAAATAATTCCTACTTTGCACAATTGTTGTGAAACTCCAATGTGATATGTATGGAGGAGTTTTGAAAAATACCATTCATGTGTTGTTATTAGAATGCTGTGGGACCTCTGCTTTAGGGAGGATTAGAGCAAAATGAGACCGAAGATCATGTACTAGACACTGTAACTCAGAGGGGTTAAAGGCCCTTGGATATTGGCAGTGTCAAAGCCCTTCTACCAATTAACCAGCCAGAACGTGGAGGCCTCAAGAGTTAAAGGCCTTATCTCTATAGGCATTGATGGTACGAGGGTACTTCATAAAGTTCATGGAAAAATAGAATTAAAAGATAATACAAATCTTTCCATGAAATTTTTGAAGTACTCTCATATAAGCTGGAAGTATAAAAGTTGAGGGTCATGAGAGTTAGTCCAGCTGCCTGCCTCACCTGTCTGCTGGAAGACCCTTCTATCTGGGGGAGACCTTGGGCCTGGATAACAGTGCTGCCAATTAACAGGTTGCTTCTGGGTCAGTCCTGCCTACTTGGCCCTTTCTCATTTTGGCTTCTCCTTTAGCATGTTTTCCTGTA